CGCTGCCACGCCCCGCCCCGCCACAGGGCCCCAGCCTGGCCAGCAGCGGCCGGCTCTCTTTTTAATTAAGCCTCTGCGCCTCAAAACAGCAGTTCTGCCTGCCCTCGGACAGATGGCGCAGCTTCCGCCTGCCCGCCCGTCCCGCCAGGAGGCTGACGTCAAAGCTCCACAAACTTCCGATCACAACGGTGGCGGACGCTCGCTCTGCGACTTTGGAACAGTGTGGCGGCGGCGGCGGCGCGAAACAGAGCGCTCAGGTCCGCGGCCTCCGCCGCCGCCGCTGCGCCTGCTGGGCGTCCGGCCGGGGGCGCCGCGCCCCGCCGCGCCTCGCCGCGCCCCGCCATAGGCGAGAGTGCGGCGGGGGACGCATTCCAGAGCAGGGCAGCCTTAGAAGCGCGGGGAGCGCCGCCGAGCCAGCCTGGAGGGTCCCTGGAGCCTCGCCCCGCCCCGCCCCGCCCCGCCCGGCTGCGGGCGAAACCGCATAGCAGTGGCGCTTCTAGACCCCCAAGCCCCGCTGCTGCTGCATGCGGGGCCGCGCTAGAAGATCCCAGATAGATCCTCGGCCGCGCTAGAAGATCCCAGGTAGATCCTCGGCCGCGCTAGAAGATCCCATAGATAGATCCGCGGCCGCGCTCGGCAGCTTTGCAGCAGCGCCGCGAAAACACGGGGCGGGGGACAAGAAAAAAGAAACAGCTGGCAACAAGTAGCTTGTCCGGCATATCGAACCCTTTGCCAACGGCGTGCCAGCGGCGTGCCAAGCAGCGCGCGGGCGTCACCCGGGGCCGAGCCAGGACCGCGATAAGGGACAACATGTAGTACGGGAGCAGAGTCAGTCGCCGCAGGGTGCCGTCCCGACCACAGCGCGCCGAGACACAGCCGCGCGGGCACCCCGCCGCACCCGGCTGCGCGCGCGAGGCCTACCTGCCGGGCGCTCACCACCACCCGCAGCAGCAGCTGTCGCCCCCGCGCTGCCCCCGCGCGCCGCGCCGGCACCGCAAGGCAAGGGAAACAAACGTCTTAGAGACGAAGGTGGGGTGGCACCTTTGCAGGAGTGTTGCAGAAATTGTGAGCTTGGTGCTTTATTCGGAAAGGCACTCCCAAAGGAGTTAAGAAACTGGCGTTGCCGGCAGTTTGAATGTCGTTGTAAAGCCACAACACTTTTTATTCAGTGTGCTGATAACTATTTCCAGGGCGTAAAATGCAGGCCCCTCTCCAGAGCCTACTGCCGAGGCTTCCGCTGGAGGAGGCGGAGTAGAGCAGGTACTTCCCCGGGCTCGCCGTGTCGAGCATTTTCACTCCGCCCAGCCCGGCCCGGCCAGCGCGTCCAGATGTAATATTCCGTCCTGATTCACGATGCAATTACCTCTCTGGACCAGTTTGCTCTTTCCGGTGCGATAGCAGCGAGGCTCGACGGCTCGGAGCGGCTCGACTCGGCTGCACCCTTCCCTAGATAGAACGTTATGGGGCGCCTTATGGGGGAAACCCTTCTAGATGATGGGGTCCGGGAAACGACTAGGGTCCCTAAAGTCTCGAGCGGAATAACGAGAGTGTGACAATGACACGTTGCAATTGGGTGAATAAAAACGACAGTGTGAAACGTTCGATCCCTGCTGTTGCACGCAGGAGAAAGTTTCATTTTGTCAGTCAGTCAGTCATTACAGATCGAGTTCGAAGATACACATTCCTGTATAGTAATTTTTGGGACACTTGTAAAGAGACGTGAATGACTGTTTTGCTTGTCGAGTATGTTCTCACGCCGTGCGCAGTGGGCACGCGCTGTACCCGCGGGGAAGCGCCGCCGCGCGCCTCGCGAGGGGGAGGAGGAGCTTGGCAGCGCGCCACGGACTCGCCATCGCAACAACGCCTGGACGCCCCGTAATCGTTCTATTAACACAACAAGGCGATGCCCTGGCCGGCCAGAGGGCACGCACCGCACGGCAATAAAAGCAAAATCAAGTGCGGAGCGGAGCGGAGAGAGAGAAAAGCCTTTATTGCAACACGGCGGAGCTTGTTGTTGTGATGTCGCTCCCCTTGCTTTGCCGATGATGAAGACCAGGGTGTTAATCAAGCATCGATATATGCTCTCATGCACGCAGCTGATTGATCGTCGTCCACAAGCACCCACTGGCGACTGCGGGAAAGGGGTAGGAGGAGGGGAGGGAGGGAGTGGGGGGGAAAAGAAAACAGTCCGCTCAATGAGTATTGTTTGTCCACTACTTTAATCCCATTCCCCCGTAATTGCTGCGC